CTATATATGTACGAAAAGAGGCTTTATATAAGATCGAAAATATACCGGCATTTTTCAAGCAAGTTGAGGTAAAGTCAGATCCAATTTTATGTTCACACTATCCTTCTTGTGCAATGTGTAGCGATCCAGAGGAATTTCTTATTCCAAAATCGGAATATGCAAAATGGATTAAAGAGTTCCAAAAAACCAAAACGCCTCTAGTAAAATATAATTGTAAAAAGCATAACCCATTTGTTTGCAGATTTTGCTTTGGGGAATGGTTTTATAAATCGGATTCTTGTCAGAAGCAGTTAAATCAGCCAGAAGAGCAAGAAGTTCGAGAAATTCAACCTGGTCAATGGCGCGATAAGTGTGAAAAAATATATGGACCAGTTGCTGATATTGTATACTGGCCAAAGAATAGGTATTGGGAATCAATCAAAAATATTTCTGATAGTACAGCACCCTCAATTCACGACCCAATTACAAGATGCCGAAAATCATATCTCAATGGAGGGGAAGGGTCTGGAAAAACAACACGTGCAATTTGGATCTTTAAAAATATAAATATGGTTGTCTTTACACATACAAATGCATTAGCCAAAGATTTTCGAGAAAACCGTGATGTAAAAGCTCAAACATGGCATAGCTTCTTTCGATAGAATGGTGTAGGGAATTGGACACCCGAACGTATGGGAGAAAAGAAATTTCCACAAGTCATTATCTGGGATGAGGTATGTACAGTACCTAAACATATTCTCGAAATGTTTATTAACTATTTGCTGGAACATAAATGTCAGGTAATCTGTTGTGGAGATGATGCCCAGCCTCCACCATTCTTTGGAGAAATGCCCCATGACTGGTTGAAAAAAAATGCTAATTATTATGAGGAAGTTATAACTGATTATCGAGCTAAATGTCCTAAGTTACATGAACTCAAAAAGGGAATGCGTCGTAAAAATAATCGAGTGCAATCTGAATTATTTCGTGGAGCAATTCCAGTTATAGAAAAATAGAATTATTTTGAAGCTGAATGGACACCATCAGATCGAATTCTATCAGCACATCGACTTTCTCGAAGACTCGCATCGCAAATATGTCTCAAACTTCATTATATAAAATACCCTAATATACCAATTCCTTTAATCTATAGGCCAAGAGATGGACGTAAACAAAACTGCCTTATCCAAATTCCCAGTTCATCTGAGAAACGAGAACTAGTAAAAAATGATATAGTATATTTATTATTAAATTCGCTTTCTAAAAAGTTTATAGAAGATATGTCAAGAGAAGAAAAAATACTTGACTGGGATTTGGGATATGCTATGACTGTGCATACTAGTCAAGGGATGACGCTTGAAGCTCCACAATGAGTTTGGGTTATCGATGAACATTTGGCGTGAGATAATTTAATATATCTTGCAGTTGGTCGTGTAGAATATTTAAACTAGCTTATTCGAATAGAAGGTCCCGCATTACCTCCTGAGATTGAGGAAGCAAGAAATAAAAAAGCAATTGAGCGATACTTAAGACCATTTATTTCAGGAAAACTTGTAGGGTATATGAATCAAGATAAGAAAAAAGATCGTGAATTTAATCTATCTGTTGACTATATTCTCGAGTTAAAGGATTTGCAAGAAAATAAATGTGAATTATGTCTTAATGAAATGTTGTGGGAATGGGATGTAGTAATAGATTCAGATCAATGGACAGTTGATCGAATTAATAATAATCTAAGACATATAGAAGGAAATGTACGTCTTACTTGTTTAGAATGTAACCGAAATCATCGAACCTAATTCATGGCAGTGAGTTAGATTTAATGATAATAATATCTACCTAATACAAAGATTTTTTTTTTTCTAATATAATAAATATCTAATTCGAAGGTTTATAGATATGATTATAGATACTAGAGTCTGAACGAAAAGCTGATTAATCAATATCGACATCGAATAGACCATATGTTTCGAAATTTTTTTTATACAGGATATAAAATAATTCTATTAGCTTAATTAACTTAAGAAACTCCTCATGTGGTACATGCTCTATTTTATTATTATGAACATAACCTACATCCTGCTCATGAAGTAAAATTTTTCTAGCAATAAATTCACCAAGAGATAAAATCTCAAAATTATCGCCATACATTCCTTTTGCAACTAGCTTTTCTTTATATTCATCGATTTGTTTATAAATTTCGGTATTACTAGAGGTTGACATGTTAAGTAATAATTGAGTAAATATATATAGTGAATAAAAATTCAATCTGTAATTAATTATCGAGAGGCGTTAGTGAAATCCACACACGTACTCTCACATAATTAAACCATGTGCTAATTCTATTAATTTCATTCTGAGATTTTTTATTTATCAAATGTAGGGAAAGCGAGTCGACCTACCTATCTGCCATATATATTTTTTCAGTTAGCTTCGGAGACAAAGGTAATAATTACATAAATCGTGATAAAAATATTTCTAGTATAATATCCAAAATGATAGAAAATTTTAATGTTCATGCAGAACGAAAAGTGAAAAATGAGTTTAAATATCTCAAAGATTCCATTATAGATCTGGAATACAGAATGCGTATGTTCCATAAAAAGCTAGAGAATATTGTCGAACAATGTCAGTATATGTATTCAGATAATTATGATTATAATAGCAATACCTCAAATTCTGAAACTGAATTATCTGATGATGTAGAAATTCTCACATGCACCTCAAAGCCAGCAAAAAAATTACACGAGTCTAAAGACCTCGGCTCTATCCATTCTAAACCTAAAAAGAAACGAAATAAGAACAAGGTATATAATTGTACAAAGGTACATAAAGAATTTTTATAGCCTATTTCAGAGAAATGACACTTCGTGCCTTGACATATAAATTGATCGTATAATAAAGTAATTGCGAATCATTTATTTTTATTGCACGTGCAACTTAAAATTACTGGGTATTCCATATGCAAATACATTACGAAGCAATTTAGTAATACATGCTGTCAATAATACATATATAAAAAAACTAATCATTAGATTTTAGATTCTACAAGGATGTGGATTGGTACCTCTCTAGGACTTTTAGTGAAATAATCGCTAATTTTTTTTTCAGGTTTCATATACACATATTCACTATGTTCAATATCAACTGCACGAAGATTATATTCTCTTTGTTCAATATCGACCACACGAGCATTTCCGTAGTTTTTTAAGTAACTCAAGATTTTGGTATGTAATGCGCTGACTGGTTCATTCTTAAAAATATAAATTCCATATGGCATTATTGAACATCCAAAAAATATACCAGTGGGGATTATAAGAGCTATGAGATCGAGATGTTCGTCCATTTTCTGTCAAAATATAAAGTTCTCATTAGTCAGAATTCCATGTATTGAAGACTCTGCTATTAATTTTTTTTTTTTAGCAAGACGTTGTTACAGAATGAAAATATAACGATAAAATAATATTAAAAACACCTGCAATAATAATAACCCTTAAAATGATATTTAGAATTTAATATTAGTTCATGTAACAAATAGTAACAATTTAATAATTACTTTTGACAAATATTTATAGCCTGTAGCACACATTAGTTAGTCACGAAATAGTAGTACAAGATCACGTGTTCACGTGACATTTAGTTACACAAACATAACTATCAATTCATAACATTAATTATTATCACTTAACATTATTTAACAATAATTATTAACATATAGTATTAATTAATAACAAATATATTTAGTAAATTATAGTAACCAATAATAATAGTGCACAGTAAGGCACAGTA